GGGTAACTCGTCAAATTGCGGCCCTTTGGGCGAAAATTTCGTCCGTTTTGCTCTATCTGAAGCCGTTTAGGCGCTACCGCCACGTTTACGAGGGGCAATGCACGGGAATCACTGGAGCTTAAGAGCAGCGGTTGTAAAAAGCAGTCCCACAAAAAATATTGTAAAACAAAAATTGAAGAACTTACATTTTTCTACAACTTTTGTTTTATAACATTTTTTGTGGGACTGCTTTTTACAACCGCTGCTCTTAAGCCCCAGTGATTCCCGTGCATTGCTCCTCGTAAACGTGGCGGTAGCGCCTAAACGGCTTCAGATAGAGCAAAACGGACGAAATTTTCGCCCAAAGGGCCGCAATTTGACGAGTTACCCCTTGGGAAGCATTCTTAAAAGTTATAAAAAATAATTGAAAAAGCAGCTTTTTGAACAAATACCCAAAATGACCCCTAAATATGAATTTAAGCAAAAATCTTTGATGTGTCCTTCGATGACATATTTAGACCAACAATTTCCCAAAGTAGAATGAAAATCGGGAATTTACACTTGGCGGGGTTCCCTTGTAAGAAGGGAGTAATAAAGTTTCAATTGAAAAGTGTGAAGCCAGTGACAGAAGGTCGGACACACCCCTTCTGTCCACGAAGGCAGACAAATAACACAGATTTATTGAAAAATGGGAGAAAGTTTGAGAAAAAAACGAGACTCAATGACAATGTCGCTTATCTGATGGAGAGCCCACCCCCCACACCCTATACCCCTTGCTACCTGTCAAAGTCAGAACCAGATTTGGACGCGAATCAGTCAGACCCCGTACCACTCGGCAGCTGGCGCTGGGAGCCGCCAAAGTTAGGGGAATTCGACAAAGGTGTACTTGCAGTACACTGAGAGCGTAAAGTGAATACACTCAGAAATTTGACACACTTACGTGGAGGTGACAAAAAAAAATGTCACACACAAAAAATGCATGATCATTGTGTTGTACCTCGACCACTGTTAAAAATCACAACAGTAAACACTTACAGAGCGGACTGGTAATTTTGAAAACAGTGTAATCCTGTACGCTGCACTGTACTTTATTGTGGAGGAAAGTTGTTTTCAAGCAATGTCAAGTCTTTATCCCTCAAATACCAGCCGGACAGATTTTGACCTTAGTATGGAAGTACCGGACGATCTGTATGAGTTCTGTTTCTGGGTACAGAATTTTTAACAGTGACATGTGAGCGAATGTCTCACACAATATTTTTGTAATTTCGATTCACGAAACATGTTGTTAATTTACGACATCTTTATCTCGTTCGTCAATGAATTCCAAGACGGTACAGAGTTCATGTAATTTTATAATTCCAAACTACAATTTTACAACACACACCCTGGAACATTTTCCCTGCGACTCTTTATTGCAGGTTTTCCTCTCAGTGAAACTACGTACACTGTGATAAAAAGTAGGTAGGTTTACAGGCAAATTTTCCTTGACGCAAGTCGTAAAATTACAATTTGAAATCGTAAAAATACATGCAGTTTGTATCGACTTCAAATCCCTTGGCGAGTAAAAAATGTGCTGTCGTAAATTTACAACTTAAATTATAAACCAAGTTTACAATTTTTTGTAAATTTACGACAAAATTTTTCACAGTGTACAAGAACATTTTGTTCACAGTGTCCCCCGCAGTTTTTTTAGAAACACTCGTTCCTTTTATTTGTCGCCGCTGGTCCCTGTCGGTCGCCGCTGGTCGCCCGCTCTGTAAACTCGGCAGAGAACACACTCCGCCCTGCGCGGGCCCCCCAATCAGTGAAGGGCAAAGTGGGCGCACGAGTTTGCCCAGCGCCCGCCCCCCTCTCTCTCTCCTTCCCCTGCTGCCTCCCACCTTGCCGTCTTTCTTTTCCGCCCGTTCACCGTCAGAGAAATGCACAGAGAAGTCATCATATATACACGAAAAATTCGTTACCCTCGTCTTCATCTTTCTCTCTCCAGACAACGATGCCATATAGACATAAAAAAAAGAATAGGCTTATGCATCAGTTAAGAGAAGCTAAAAAAACAGCTATACAAGTTGTCCTAAAAAAAGGACTGTGCAGGCTAATATATACCTAAGCTCTCTGAGCTCATAATAAGCTAATTCCTCAACTGGCCCAAGCTCTTTTAGCTAATTCTTTTTCCATGTAAGTATTCTTTGATAGTTCAATATGAAAAGGTTGTCGGGTTAAAGTGTCAAAATAATAAACTTTTTTTTTTAAACGCAGTTGACGTGCATAACGTAATACGTCTTCAATAGAAAAGTGTCCTATTGCTGCTTCCATTTTCACGTTTTTTTTTCCGCGCGCCCGAACTCGACACGCCACGGCCGGCGCCCGATAAAAAAAAAGGAACAGAGAAAAACTGCAACGAAAATTGAGATGTCAGAAGAATGCCAAGCGAGGCCGATATTCAATCGATAATAACCTGCCATGCGAACAAACGTAATAAGCCTTCTGTTTTCAAAGCGAACGAATAAATTATATACAGATCTCGCAGACGACCTGAGTTTTGGCTGAGGTGAGTCGATGGAGTAATAAGGGAGTGCTTCCCTATACCCCCCCTCCCCCCTATAGAAGCGCCACTACATTAAACGCGCTTTAATGTGCTTTGAAATGCACGTATAAGGTGGTACCTTTTTGACTCATTAAACAAGGCAAAAATTTTGCCTTGTACTTTTAAAAGAAATAACGAAATTTCCTTGTTTGAGAGGTATAGATTTTCTCGGTGCAGCCCCGTTCATGCTGCGCTGGAACCCTCATCAGGCCCATGACAGATTGAAATGAGACGATGATTGCGGACCCGGCGAGCAAACGGTTACTGCAAACGACGTCGGTTTGGACGGACACGCCAGGATTAGGGTTGGAAGCCCTGGAAGTTTCTGAAAATTTTCAGAAAAATTTCCGGAAAAAATTGAAAGTATCTGGGGAAAAAATGGAAAATTTCCCAGACTTTGGAAAGTTTTCCGTTATTTTCGGGAAATTTTCAGGCATTTTTCGGAAATTTTCTGGAAAATTTTGGAAATTTCCAACCCTCGATCAAAAATATTACTATTCGCTGGTACAACACGCTATCGCCAAAAGCAAGAATAATTATCTGACCCAGGCCTATCCGCTTTGTCGCATTGAATTGATAGTTTAGAAAACTGCTCGCGATTATCCAACTTGGATGTATGCGCTCCATGACCTCGCTCATCCGCTCATCCGCTCATCCGATCATCTGTGGCACATGTCAGTCAGAGCCGTCAGGCCCGCGCCAGGCGATCGCCGCTGCACCGGCACGCCAAGTCGAGGGGACGGGCGTAGACTTGACGGCGAGGCCGCGGAGCACGACAGTCGCCGGCGGCGTCCCCATCCAGCGTCAACGAAGGCGACGCGAAGAGATGGCTGGCGAAGGATGTCAGTAAAACACAAACACGGTCGTGTGCTGGCGCCCGGTGAGAAATGGAAATGAAATCGAGATATCAAAACGATATCAGATGTATCGAAAAATTGTGTGTGGCCATTCCAGGATCATATTCCAAAAGCGCGAAAATCGCGACAGCTTTCCGATGTCGATCAAGGTCCGCCACCGGTCTGATATCGTTTCGAAGGTTTCGATGTAACCGTTTCTCACTGGGTGACGATGACACGCACGTTTGAACTAGAGCAGATAGATGTCCGTGCTCGCGTACGCCTGGCCATGATCGCGCGCTTGGCCGTGCGCCTGGCCCTGGCCGTGCGCCTGGCCGTGCTCGTGCGCCTGGCCGTGCTCGTGCGCCTGGCCGTGCTCGTGTGGTGCGCCTGGTTGCGAGGGGGTCTTTACGCCCGTAATACAGCACTGTACACATAAACTAGGTATTGTGCCATACCTAAAATTACTGAAATATGCTCTAAGATGATGGAATTATGGTTGCAAAGCCTGTTTAACACCGGCGTAATACCGCGTATTGCGTAATACACGTAATATGTAGTACACACAGTACACAAAAGTTCCGAGTGAAAACCCCCTTGAATGCTTGTGCGCCTCCTCGTGCTCGTGCTCCCTAAATGGGTAATGGTTCAGTGCACTCTCTCTGTCTCAGCCGTCAGGTTGTCCCTCCTTAGCGACTCAATGTTGTACGCAATCGTGGCACTCGTGGCGCTCCTGCACCAGCCAGTCACCCAAGGGAAAGCTATCACCCCGTTTGCGGTAAGTTTACCACCTCTCTGCGAACGCAAGTGAGTACATGTTTGCAGTGTATCTCCTGAATAACCCCTATGCCTGCACTGTAAAATGCTTGTAAACTATATTCTTTGCAACATTGCAAAGAATTTGCGAGCTTTGTATTGCAAAGAAGAAGAAATCGTGTATTTTCCATATGTATTCAGAAAATAATGTGAACGTGTGACACGCACCTTGGGCTTGCAGAGATGACAACAATAACTGTCTTCAACACAAAGAAACGTGCTAAATACAAACACTTCAGTGGGGCGTGTGGCAAAATAGTCACACGTGTACATCACACGTGTACACATATGACTATGTGTGACGTGTCACACTCTCGTGTGCGGCTCACTGATCACTAACGGCGCTATTCTAAATTCTATTTTTCAGGGCCCATGGTTCGCGTGGACCGAAAAGTTCTCTGTTTGCGAAGGCCAGTACCCGTGGTCGTGGAACATAAAAACCACTCCCTATAACCCTCAGAAACATGAATTACAACTCATTTCAGGAAACGTCACAGGCGACAAGACTATTGACGACAATTTCTGGGTAAGACCTGCACCTGCAGCCCCCAACGTTTGCATTCGCCAGACAGGCACTCTGTTCTGTGGCTGGATGGTACAAAACAGCAGTTTTGCGCACAGTATTTCTACACGTAGGCCGAGACCCGTGTGGACCCCGATTCCGATGTTGAGCACATTTGTCTTTACGAGGAAAAATGATGAGCAGTATTGCTAAACCAATACTTAAAACTTCAGCTCTGTTTAACGGCATAGCAAAAATTTTAGCAACACAACTTAAAATTTTGAGCTAGATTGCTATTTTTGAGGAATTGCTAAATTTTTACCTACAGAGCTAGATAAATGGTTTCCCCGTTCACTGGTAAAACAATGTGCACAATTTAAACACCAACGTGTGCAAGTTATGATGTTGCACATTACATGGTGTTTAACTCAAGTTGCACACTTGCGTGGTGTGCAGATTTCAGACGTTTGCTAACTAGATAGAGAAAATGCACACTTGAACTTAAACATCAATTTACGTGCAACATTAAACACTTATTTTACCATTGTATTGAGTTATTAGGTTACCTGTATAACTATTTTTTTTTCTTTTCATGTGTTTTAAGTCCATTTCCGGTTCCGCTTGGAAAACTTAATATAAATCTTTTATTACAGTTGAAAGTAGTCATGGACCTTCGGTCCAAAAATCAGTGGAGCAACAAAGGTTTGACCTTTGAGTTTAAAAATAAGGCCTGTACAGCAGTCGTATCAAATATCCCCGGATTTTATTCACTTTTCTTCGGGAAGGAAAAGAAACCGTGCTCTATAGATCCTGTGAGTAAACACGCTGTTGATTTAAACCTGTGCAACTAACTCGCCGCACGCACCGTGCAGAAACGTAAAACGTCAAAATTGAATGTGGCCATCGCCTCCTTTGCAGGGAGTTTACCGGGTGGACCAAGAGCCGATAGATTGGAATTTTCCTAATTTCCCAATCGTTCCATATGGACATTACAAGTTTAGAATCATGTCTGGGATTGGCAACGACATGGCCGTGTGCTTGATTAATGAAGTTCATCTTATTCCTAAGCCGACCACGTAGGAAGAGCAAAGATTTCGATATGCGAGGAGGCAAGGGCTTCCTCCCCAGCTTACAGTCATTTAAGTTAAAAAGGTATCAATTAAACTGTGTGACAGGAACGGTGTTATTCACTTTTATTATTATGACTATGCAGTCTGTATTAGGTGTGTTGTGTTGATAATAACGCATCTACCAGGTGTCTGACTCACTTTCGCAGTTACTGTACCGCAAGTAAGTGTGCGGGCGGCTTTTCCTATGCTCGCTGTCCACGGCTCCTTATGGCCCCGTGCGAGTAGGCAATCCGCCCTGAGATGAGCACCCCGTTAGATTAAATAACGGTCACGGTGTAGAAAGAGCCCAACTGTAAATATTTTTTAGAAAATGTTTTGTAAATTGACGAGAATATTTTTCACAGTGGCAGTGCATGCATAGCCCAGCTCTGAGAGAAATTGTTGTACCGGTTACGTGCACATGCAGGAAAATATTCCAAGGAGAGGAAGGTGGCGTACATATTCAATTCAGCATTGTAAATTTAAAAGCATCGTGTGTCAAATTAAAATCCATTAAGAAAGATGTTGCGTCTAGTTAAGTACTACAACAAATTTTGTAAACAGTAAATTACACCATACAGTACATCTACGAACATTTTTTTTACAGTGACTGTTTTAAGGATGTGTCCCTTGCCAGAGGCCATTATTTTCGAGAAGGGGATTTACGTCGCGGGTACTTTAAAACTTGTGCGTCTTGCCACGCTCCTACACCGCCAGTCTGACAGGCCTCCCCTCTCACCCCCACGCAGCGGCTGCGCCGCCGCCGGTGGTGTCGATTTGAGTTTTGGCGCGCTGCCGGCGCTGTGGGGCAGGCGTGACGGGTTGGTAAGGGAGGGGGCGGCGTACCCCC